TTTTTTAAAGACGGGGTTTCAACATGTTGAACAGGCTGGTCTGGAACTCCGGACCTCAGGTGATCTGCCCGCCTTGGCCTCCAAAACACTTGGATTACAGGCATGAGCTACCACGCCCGGCCAATCTCTCTGCCTGTTTTTTAGAAGACTTTTGTCTTTGGAGTTTTGCAGTTTCTCAATGCTGTTTTTCCGTATGAATTTCCTTTTATTTATTCTGCTTAAAATTTGTAGGCCTTCCTTGAGAAAAATAAAATAAAATTCTAGGCCAGAAGCAGTGGCTCATGCCTGTAATCCCAGTTCTTTGGGAGGCTGAGGCAGGTGGATCACCTGAGTTAAGACTTTGAGACCAGCCTGGCCAACATGGTAAAACTCTGTCTCTACTAAAAATACAAAATGAGCCATGTGTAGTGGCGCCCATCTGTAGTCCCAGCTACTCGGGAGGCTGAGGCAGAATTGATGGAACCCAGGAGGTGGAGGTTGACAGTGAGCTGAGGTCACGCCACTGCATTCCAGCCTGGGTGACAGAGTGAGACTCCCTCTCAAACAAATAAAAAATAAAATTCTAAGCCCTGCAGCTAACTGAATGGACCCCTCCCCTTGGTCAAGGGAACCCAGAGAAACCTTGGGGGCTTGAGTTGCTGCCCAGTGCAGGAGGAGAGATCAGACGCACCTCATTATACCCTCCCTCCCACCCACCGTTAGACTTTCTTCACTCAGGGCTGAACAGAAACCAGCCCTTTCCAAAGGCTCCACCCTGTGAATGTGGATAGAGGAGATTAATGGTTCCTTCTTCCTCCCTGAGATGCCTGCTTAGTTGCTCTCTTTCTGTTTCTTTTTTTTTCTTTGAACAGTTGACTACAATGTTTCCTTTTATGGAATGTAAAATGTACACTTACTGGGCCCTTACTGAAGTCTCATAAGTATGTAACCTTTCACCTCACAGCCACCCTCCCCCTTCTTAAGGACGATACAGAAACACAAAACCTCCTGAGAACCTCTTGGGACAAAAACAGCCACAGATGTGCCCGTGACTCATGCTGTGCCGTCTCGCTGGCTCAGTAGCCCTCACTTGCCCGAGACCCTCATTCTGTGGGTTGGTATCTTTCCTGGTTGCTGGATGATACTCTGCCTTATCTCTTTGGATATGAATTGCCACCGGCCCAGCATCTGGGCCCTCGCTTCAGGGACCTCTGATTGCGCATACATTAGACCTTCTCTCTCCTGCAGTTCTGCTCACTCTCCTGTCCCTCCTTGCTCCTCCTGGTGCTGCATTCTGGGTAATTTCTTCTGATCTATTTTCCAGTTTACTAATGTCATATTCTATTATAGAGAATAAAGTCTTTCCATTGAATGTTTCTTTCTTTCTTTTTTCCCAAACACCAACTTGAAACAGACATTGAGTTTTCATTTTGGTTCCTCTACTTTTTATTTATAGAAGTTATATTTGGTTATTTTCCAAGTCGGCTACGTTATTTTTTAGTTTTTTTTTTTTTTTATTTGTTTTTTTTTTTTTTTTTTTTTTTTTTTTTTTTTTTTTTTTTTAACTATACCCCATAGTCTCCAATATAACAGTTTTTTCTTTTTAATTTAAACGTAATACAGTTTTACTATGTATCCAAGAATATCCGAAATCTTTTGTGCGTTTCTTTCTTTTGTCTCTTGTTTCTGTTGCTGGATTGAGCCTGCTTAAAACAAGCCCAATTAGCTGTAAAGGTTTCCCTTAGAAAGTCAGGTGTCTTCCTCTGTAACTCTCTCCCTTTTCCATCTGGCCCAAGGCATTAATTTATATTAATCTTGATGAAAAGTGACATTGTGTCCACTACACCTTGGCCACTAGGGAGCCAGTCTTTGGCAGATGTTGTTATTCCTCATAATGCCAGCCAGTCACTGAAGCTGACCTGAATGCCTCCCGGGTCTGAGGAATGCCATGAGCTCTTAAGCTCGACCCAGAGACACTTTCACCTTTGTGACTGAATAATGTTCGATGTAGGCCAAACGCCTGCAGGCTGCTGTCTGAGGCCCGGGCAGTCTGCCAGGTATTCCCTTAGCACCTGAATGTCTCTGGTCAGCATCCCAGGTGTCCAGAGGATGGTGTTTATGCTGGGTGCCTGCCGAAGTATTTATGGGTGAAATCATATGATGTCCAGGATTTGCTTTTAAATGCCTTTACACCTCCTCCCAGACTCTGGAGGGCTGTGAAACAATTTGCTATGAAAACTGGTAATTCCTCAAGCTGGTTACATGGGGGTTAATGATCCATCTCTCACCTTTTCTGGGGGGAATGTTTGACACTTTAATAAGAAGTCGTTGCCTTTAAAGTGTGTGCGGCATCTTCCTCAGGCCTGCTTTTTCTGTTTCCCAGGCTTACGTGATGGCAGACAGGGTGCCCCGCTGCACAGTCTGCACTGGCGTTGTGAAGCCCGACATCGTGTTCTTTGGGGAGCCGCTGCCCCAGAGGTTCTTGCTACATGTGGTTGATTTCCCCATGGCAGATCTGCTGCTCATCCTTGGGACCTCCCTGGAGGTGTGTCAGCAGGCCTGTGAAGGGAGGAGGCCGAGGGCAGGGGAACGGGGCGGGGTGCAGGAGTCCCCTCATGGGCCTTGAGAGGCTATGGGGAAGAGGGGGTGCAGGAATCACCTTATGGGCCTTGAGGGACTACAGGGAAAGGGCGGGTGCAGGAGTCACCTCATGGGCCATGAGGGACTACGGGGAAAGGGCGGGTGCAGGAGTCCCCTCGTGGGCCTTGAGGGACTATGGGGAAGAGGGGGTACAGGAATCACCTCACGGGCCATGAGGGACTATGGGGAAAGGGGGGGTGCAGGACTCACCTCATGGGCCTTGAGAGGCTATGGGGAAGAGGGGGTACAGGAATCACCTCAT